AAAAAAACGGGCCTTGATTTCTAATTTGCCATTAGATATTCTGTCAAATGCACGACATCTTGCCGAGGTGCAAATCACAAAGATGGGGATGAATCTATTGATCAATATGTAATTCAAACATCCTTTCAAAGCCAAAGAATTAATCTGATGAGAGAGGTTAAAAGTGATAATTAATGCTTGATCATCCGTGAACGCATTCTGTAAAATGTGAGATTTAAATATAGGCAGAAAGAAGACCTTCAAGCTAATTTGAAATCTGCTTCTAATCTCCTGTAGGCATTTTTAAAACCAAACACCCTCTGTTTCCATGGCTAAATAGAAAGCATGGTGATTTGGAAACAGCAGTGCAGAGTTCATCCAAAACATCTTGCTACCTGCGGTAGATTAATAGAGATAGCTCTCTTTTCATATCATATCATTTTGTGTGCATAATATCTGGCACACAAAACAGAAAACACAACAAGTGTATAAAAATAACATATGGTGAGCTCTTTGTTGAATGATACCCAAAATCACATTTTGCCTAATTGTAGCGTTGTCCCAAATACCTTCAAAGTATAGTCACCCCTCCACATTTGAAGTCTTGACTTTTGCATATTTGATTATTCACATTTGTTATTAAAAATATTATCTCTGGGAATCTTGATGTCCTCCAGTGTGGCACTATGGTCAACATCCTCCATCATACTCATATAAAACATAGAGGTTTATACAGAGAAGCAGTTCTATGGCCAGCTTCCAGTAGAAATTGATGATAGTTTCAATGGGCGAAGAGACTCGTCCATTCCTGATTGGTGATTAGTCAAAAGTTTAAAGATCTGTGAATCCCTGCTGTTGATTGCCTGAGCACTCTGGTGGGAATTTTGATAAACTGTCCTTGGTTGTATTTGAAGCTGTCTGCTGTCCTTTTGTGTCTGCCATCTGGAGGTTGGGAAGGACTGTCAGCTGGGTTTTGGGGACAAAGGATAGTTGATGGCCTTACTCCTAGTGACGTGGGTTTAAGGGGATTCCCGGAAGTTGGACAATGGGTGGCTGGGTGTCCTGATGGGTTTCAAGATTAGAACAAAAGGACGATGGGTCCACTTTGATGAGCTTATACCTTAAGTGATGTCTGAGTTCTTGTTTGGTGGGAGTGCCAGCTGGTTGCATGTCAGAAAATGTGTAATGATTGTGTACACTTAACTTGTGTAGGAAAGAAGATCTAATTGGATTTTCCAGGAATTTCCAGAGTTGCAACCAGTAGACTAATGGTGCCTTTGATTTTGGGGGGTGGGAGGGGGCATTTTTGATAGCATTACCCAAGACTCAACCTTTGGCTTTCCGTACAAACACATGTATTTTACTACCCTTCTGTGTTTGTGGTTATGGCTACATTTTAAAAAATACTGTTGTCTTAACAGATCTGAGGATCAGGGAGGGGACATTGTTGGTGATGACAAAGTGTTCCTTTTTAGGCTTCCTGTTTGACTCCTTTGCAATATCTGTACTTAGTGCTTAGTGAATGGGACAGATAAGGGTTTCTTTTAGTATATCACAAGTCTTTCTACTCAGCAGTCTTCTTGTTTCTGCCTACATATGATAAGATCCCCAAGATACTATGTCTGGGAGTTTCTGGAGTATAACAATCCAATTCAAAGTGCTGGCTTTAGCCCTAAACAGTTTTGGTCCAACTTACCTGTCTGAACACATCTCCCCTTATGAGCCAACTAGAGCTTCAAGATCTGATGGGGAGCCCCTGCTCTCGGTTCCACCCTCTTTGCAAGTGCAATTGGTGGGTACAAGAGACAGGGCCTTCTCAGTGGTGGCCCTCGGCTGTGGAACTCCTTCCCCAGTGACATCAGGCAGGCCCCATACCTTATGTTCTTTAGAAAAAAGCTAAAGACCTGCCTCTGTACGCAGGCATTTGGAGCATAAGATATTACGGATTTCGACACAGGCTGAACAAGGATTATGAACAAGGAATGTTGTTTATTCATTCAGTTGCTTCCAACTCGAGAGCTCTCTGTCGACTGTGTCTCTCTCAACAGCTCCTTCAAGGTCAAGCCAGTCACTTCAAGGATACCATCCACCCATCTTGCCCTTGGTCGAGCCCTCTTCCTTTTTCCTTCCATTTTCCCCAGCATCATTATTTTCCTCAAGTTTTCCTGTCTTCTCATTATGTGGCCAAAGTACTTCATCTTTTCCTCTAATATCCTTCCCTCCAGTGAGCAGCCAGGCATTATTTCCTGGAGTGTGGATTGGTTTGATCTTCTCAGAGTTTTCTTCCAGCACAACAGTTCAAAAGTGTCTATTTTCCTTCACTCAGCCTTCCTTATTGTCCAGCTCTCACATCTATAGGTTACTACAACATAGTAACCACATTTCATAAAAACTAAAGATGTGGATGCTCCGTTGTGTGTTTGATTAGACAATTCACTGGACAGCAGGCTCTAACTATGGCCTAACATCTTGTCCTTGCACCTTACTACTATAGTAAACCAAAATTATAATGACCCTGTTGAAATTGCTCATATCCTTCTGCTGCTATATGACCTATCCACTTTACTCACTATCCCTACCTTCTAAATTGTTGTACACTTGAATTATACTGTTGGTTGTTGATTTTGATACTTGTTCTATATATTGGTGTAATGTTGTTTTATGTTGTTTTATACTGATGTTATATATTTTAAATACGTTATGTTTTAACTTTGTTGATTGGGCTTGACCCGATGTTAGCTGCCCTGAGTCCCTTTGGGGAGATGGAGGCAGGGTATAAAATGAAAATTATTATTATTATACTGACACAAAAGCACAGTGTGTCACAGCAAACAAGATCTATATGCTGGATTTCGTATCACAAAATCACAAGTTGAACACTTCCCAAGCGTCTAGGGCTGTGTTATGTATTTTCGAATGATGCGCAAGGTGATCCAAGCAAGGTGGCCTTTTGCAGTTGACAGATTGTGATTTTGTCAATGTTTATTGTTTCCAAATGCTGGCTGAGATCTTTTGGCACAGCACCCAGTGCGCCAATGACCACCGGGACCACCTGTACTGGTTTATGCCAGAGCCTTTGCAGTTCGATTTTGTTGTCTTGATAGCGGCTGAGTTGTTCCTGTTGTTTTTCCTCAATGCGACTGTCACCTGGTATGGCGACATCAATAATCCAGACTTTTTTTTCTTTTCCACAATCGTGATGTCTGTTGTATTGTGTTCCATTGTGTCAGTCTGGATTCGAAAGTCTGGAGCTGTTGTTGTTGTTGTTATTATTATTATTACAAGGATTATGGATGAATGAAATCAAGCACTTATATGTTTTAATCTGTTTTTATTGTTCCATGAGTTTATTTGCTCATGTGTTTTAATTGTTTATAGTTGATGAGATATGTTTTTAATGTTATGTTCTTATGCAATATTGAATTTTGCCGTAGTCTGTAAGACACCTTGAGTCCCCTGTGGGGTGAGAAAGGCATGGTATAACCGGAACAAATAAAAAATAAATAAATAACAGCAACATTTCTGGAGTATTCGTAACAACTACTTACAAATTATGTACCGCACAATTAAACAATAACTCTTTCAAACCAAGAGCAGAACATTTTACGTATTTTGTTACACAATGTATTCAGCGTTATTTATTTATTTATCGTGTCAGGAGCAAACCAAACAGTTGTATTGCATTTTTTAACAAACAAACAAACAAACAAACAAACAAGCAAGCAAGCAAAACACAACGTTTGCAAGCTTGGTAGTTGATTAAATGTTCTTTGACCAGTATCTGGCCACTTGGAGTGCTTCTGGTGTTGCTGCAAGAAGGTCCTCCATCGTGTATGTGGCAGGGCTCAGGTTGCATTGCAGCAGGTGGTCTGTGGTTTGCTCTTCTCCACACTCGCATGTCATGGATTCCACTTTGTAGCCCCGTTTCCTAAGCTTGGCTCTGCATCTCATGGTACCTGAGCGCAGTCTTTTCAGTGCCTTCCAAGTCGCCCAGTCTTCTGTGTGCTCAGGGGGGTCTCTCATTTGGTATCAGCCATTGGTTGAGGTTCTGGGTTTGAGCCTGCCACTTTTGGACTCTTGCTTGCTGAAGTGTTCCAGCGAGTGTCTCTGTAGATCTTAGGGTATGCATGCCCAGTGTGGAACACATCTCACCACACTAAAACAGTAGATGTGGCTCTTAATGAGACATGCCGCATCTAATGTTTTGGCATGGTGAGATGTGTTCCACACTGGGCATGCATAATCAGCAAGCAGAGTAGCAAAGTGCAAGGGCAGATGTCTTCACTGTGTCTGGTTGTGATCCCCAGGTTGTGCCAATCAACTTTCGTATGATATTATTTCTAGCACCCACTTTTCAGGGTTAAGTGTCCCTTGTAGATGTTCTCATTGACATCTTAGATTGCAAGCTCCTTGTATCGTGTTTGTGCATATTGTAAATCTTTGTAAAATGCAGCGTTGCTGAAGCTGCCCTGTTAAAAACTTAAGTATCCCCTTGCCAAAGGCCATATATGGTGATGCAGCTATATGCCAGGAAGTTGAGGTCACAATTGTAACTCTGGACTATATGGCAACTTGGGTTCAAATGCCATTCAAACAGTGTGGTTGACTTTATGGCACTTTTCCTGATAGGCCTGATTCTTATTTAAATTGGCAGCACACCAGTTTATCCTGCCATGAAGGGGAAACAGAGTATGAGAGCATCTACACTGCAGAAATCATGCAATTCCCTTCCAAGGAGTGCTGATCGTGTTTCGCCTCCTCTTCTAGAAAGAGTTCATCTAGATTTGCCACTAAAGTCAATGCTTCCCAGCGAAGCTCCGCCCACCAGGAGAGCTAGGCCACGCCCCTCTGTGTGAGAGTCTCTCTCTCTCTCTCCCTCTCTCTCTCAACCCCCCTCCTCACCAAAACATTGACACGTGCTCAGGTTCCTTCTGGTCACGTGAGGCGGGAGCGTCACAATGCCCGCAGCAGCCAATGGCCGGGCCGGGTTCAGGGTGGCAACAAGCGAGGCTGCGCTTTAACCAATGGGAGAAATGCAAAGCGGGGCGGGGACTATGATGGAAGTGCCTTGCTGCTTCCGTCAATAACAGGACTCTCTCTCTCGGCTTGGGTTGGGGGTCTTCGGAAGGGAGGAAGGAGGAAGACTCGTGCCTGGCTTCTCTCCATTGTTTGCGGTAAGGAAATGAGAAGTAACTCAAGCTAAGCCTTGTATGGTCCCCCACTTCCTTCCAGGTTGGGTGCATCCACACTGTGGAATTAATGCAGTTTAAGACCACTTGAAATTGCCCTGGCTCAAGGCAAGGGGCACATGGGAAAGTGCAGATTTGCAAGGTCTTTAGCCTTCCCTGCCATGGATTATTTCTGCTTCAGGCTGGATCTACACTTCTAAATAAAATCCAGAGCATCTGCTCTGAACTGGATTATGTGCCAGTGTAAACTCACATAATCCAGTTCAAAGCAGATAATCTGGATTATATGGCAGTGTCAATCCAGCCCCAGGAAACTGCAGCTCCCATGATTCCATTGCATTGAGCCCTAGCAGTTCAAGTGGGGTCAAACTGCATTCATTCTACAGTGTAGATCAAGCATGGGCAAACTTGGGCCCTCTGGGTGTTTTGGGCTCCAACTCCCACAATTATGGGAGTTGGAGCCCAAAACACCTGGAGGACCCAAGTTTTCCCATGCCTGGTATATATTCTTGAGAACCTCCTCTCCATTGATCTGACAGCAGCCCACCTGAAAAAACCCCTTTCTGATCGCTCATAGTGGTCAAAGAGCATTCTTTCTTCTACATTAAAATAAATAACAGGCCAGTCTTATGCTAGTCTACTTGTAAGCAAGACCTTAATTCAGTGGCATGACTTCCAAAGCTGTGCAAAAGATTGGCGCCCCCAGTCCTACGGAGCAATGAGAAAATATAATATTCGGCAGGATTCCTTTTCTCCCGTCTCTTTATTCTGGATGATAATAATAAGAACTTTATTTTTTCTACTCTGCCTCCATCTCCCCAAAGGGACTCGGGGCGGCTTACATGGGGCCAAGCCAACAACAACAATAATAAACTTGATTTGTATCCCGCCCCATCTCCCCAGTGGGGAGTCAGGGTTAAGCATTCCTTAGCCACAAATCTGAGGCCCATTCTACACTGCCATGTAAAAATCGAAATTGGGTTGCTGTGAGTTTTCCGGGTTGTATGGCCATGTTCCAGAAGGCAAGTGGGGTTTCTATATCTGGAATGTCCAAGGTGGGAGAAAGAACTGTGAATGTGAATGCTTCTCCCACCCTGGACATTACACAGATATATAAACCCCACTTGCCTAATTGCCTAGTTTCCAACAGACCTCACAACCTCTGAGAATGCCTGTCATAGATGTGGGTGAAATGTCAGGAGAGAATGCTTCTGGAGCATGGCCATACAGCCCAGAAAACTCACAGCAACCCAGTGATTCCAGCCATGAAATTCAAATTATCTGCTTCGGACTGGATTTTATGGCAGTGTTGAAGGAGCCCGAAAGACTCCAAAATCCTCCATGTGGGTGGCTGAGGTAAGGATACCTTTGCTTTTCAGTGGTTCAGTATACACAAACTTTGTTTCATGCACATAATTATTTAGAATATATGTATCTATATAAGCCAAAGTATATTTTTGTCTGTTTGTACCACAATGGTTGTTGCTAGTTGATGTGACTCGTGTGATGTCACTGCTATATTATTATTATTATTATTATTATTATTATTATTATTATTATTATTATATGCCACTTTATCTCCCCCAAAGGAGACTCAAAGCGGCTAGGGGAAGGATTTTGCTATTGCTAATCCTCTGTGATGTTACTGGGAAGACACATAAGGAACAGCAAGGGATAAGAGACAGATAGAGAGAAGGGAGAAGAAAGGAAGGAAAGAATGGGCCACAAAAAGAGCCTGCCCAACATTGCCCTGAGATGCTATGGAGACATTGTGAGGTAGGCCTTCTCAGAGCTGGAGAAGGGAGAAAGCAGGTGAGCAGTCACAGTGCCACCCTGCCAACTTTGCGTGTATACATGAGTCTATATGCTTAAAAGTCATAGTAAGCCTGCCTGTCTGTACCACAAAGGCTGTTGCAATGAGACAATCCAGTGGCCTTTTGTGATGTCACGGTATTGGCTGTTGCTTGGTGAAGGACTGCCTGTTAATAGCCAAGATGCCCTCTGTGGTGTCACTGGGAAAGAAAGTTAACCTGTCTGAGAGAAAGGGAGGAAGGAAAGAGCCACAAAGAGAGCCATATTGCCACGGAGGCAAAGGAGAGGAAAGAAAGAAAGAGAAATATAAGAAGAAAGGGAAGGAGAAGGGAGGAAGAAAGAAAAAGGAAGAAAGGAGTGAAAAGAAGGGAAAGGGAAAAGGAATGGAAGTAGGGCGTCACCAGTCCCTCTGAAACCCTGGCAACTCCAGGTATATACACTAGTTGTGTATGAAAATGACCTTCAAGCTATGTGTATAATACATTTCCTGTTCTGTCTTGGGTCCCACCTCCAAAATACTTTATTATGTACATGCAGGTATTCCAAAATACGAAACGCTTCTGGTCCCAAGGATTTTGGGTAAAGGCTACTTGTCCAATATTTCTCCTTTTCACTTTACACCCATTTTCTGCCATTTCACTGTTGTTCTTTTTCAGAAAGGGACTTCAAACATAGCCTGTAAGGTTTCCTACTGAATTGCTCGGTTCTTGAAACCAGTTTGTGAAATAGTTTAGAGTGGGAATGGTCAGTGCTTGGGTAGGAATTTGAAATTATAGAAGGACCTTAATATTTGCTGGGGTTTGCACCCAGGACTGCTGTAGAATAGATACCGAACTCTATAGATGCTCAAATTTCATTATATGTAGTGGGATAGTAAAATAGTGTCCCTTAGAAATGCCAAAATAAAGGTTTCCTTTTTTGGATTTTTTGAAATATTTTCAAGCCACAGATGTTGGAATCCATGGATGCAGGACTTGTGGATACGGGGGTGGGTGGGTCCAATTATACCATCTTCCTGAGTTGTAATGTTGTAAAACAATGCTTTTGGATTGGAAAGATAAACCGTTTACAATGAACGTTGCCCAAGGAATGCCAGACTATATTTATTCTGTTTTTGAGAAGGCTTTTTCTGTGTCCCCCACAGAAAGTCCTCTCAGTACACTCAATGAAAAGTTTCTTGAGAATCACCACTCCTTTAATGTTTTCCCCAGCAACAGCACAAATATCCCTCTGGGCAGCTAAACCAGGAAATCCCAACTGGATGGCTCCCCACGAGGGTCTGCCTCCAGGGGCAAACCAAGAATGGGCAACTAGGAAGTCCCTGAACAGACTCAGAAGTGGAGTGGACAGATCAAAAGACAACCTGGCAAAATCGCACTACCTAAAAGAATCCTCCACCTTGTGCAACTCTGGAGCAGAACAAACCACTCTGCATCTGTGTGCTTGCCCTATCCCGTGCACAGAGGAAGAACTGTTTAAAGCTACAGACAATGCAATTGGCTGTTGCCCGTTTTTGGTCTAAAATTAGCTAGCCGCTTGTGCTTTCTCTATTTTATCAGTTTTATACTCGTTTTATTTATACAATACTTTTGACATGAAATAAATAAATATTCCTAAGTGTAGGCCGATAGCCAAATTGCAGCACTGAATTTGGTTGTCCTGCATTGAGCTAAAGCTAAATATCTTAATACACTCAGTTAATCAAGTAGAGGGGTCCCTCCACATTACTACTTGACCAGGAACTTTGGTACCAGGGGCAGAATTAACACCAAAATAATAGGAATAATTTCCTACAAGACAATAAAAGAAATAAAGAAAAGCATTTGAACATATTTCACCAAACTTTTTATTAAAATTAAAAATATGCTTCGGTGAAGTGAAACAACCAGCTCAGGTAAGGCTTGTAGAAATTTTAAAAAACTTCAATCCTCTAGCAACCATTTGAAGGGTCTTTGAAATGAAGTTAAGAGTAGAGTTATCCCTGTGCATTTGCAGTTTGACTTTAGTAGATTTGATGAAAAATGTTTTCTCTGGGTTTTCCAGCGTGACTCTAATGCCAGCTTCCCTTGGTCATGCTGGAGGACCTGAAGCAGTGTTGCCCAACCTTTGGTCTTTTGGACTTTGGTACACAAAATTCCTGACTGGTGGCCAAACTGGCTAGGAAATCTGGAGATGTTTAAAACAACAGAAGGACCAACGTTTGGGAAACACTGAAGTGTTTTCTAGAGGGAACATCTCTGAGGTCCCTTCTACACTGCCATACAATCCACATTATCTGCTTCAAACTGGATTATATGAGTCTACACTGCCATATAATCTAGTTCAAAGTAGATAATCTGGATTTTATATGACAATATAAAAGGTACCTGGAAATCTCTAGGTCCTCTGATGCAATTCTGTAGTCAACTTTTCATGGAAGTTGACCAAAGAGTCATGTTGGAACTCCCAAAATTTTCTAATGCAGTGTTCTCTTGGGTAAAAAAAAAACCCCACTTTATTTGCAGTTTTTCACTTTCACAGGGGTCCTGTGCCCCTAGCCACAACATATGTGGAGGGTTTTTTGTTGTGTGGATGTGCCATTGTAAATGTAGAATATACAACCAGTCCCCTTTATTGTGTTCTAATCATTGATATATTAGATTGTAAGCTCCTTGTATCTTGTTAATGCTTAGTATAAATCTCTGTAAAGTGCAGTGCTACTTAAACTGATGAGCTATAACCTAAGTATATTTACTTCCTTGCTAAATGCCATATATGGTGATACTGCTACATGCTCTGAAGTTGTAACACTGGACTATGGCAACCTGGGTTCAAATTCCCACTCGGGCACTATATACAAGTTGTTGACTTTAGGCCAGTGATATTCTCTGTTTCACCTTCACGGCAAAGTAAGCTAATGTGCTGTGAATGGAAATAATCTTACCTATGTGTTAAATGCCATATATGGTGATACTCCTTGTGCTAGAGCATTGATCTCATACTATGCCACCTTGAGTTCCTTAGATGAAAGGGCAGGTATATTATTTACATAACTAGGTGATAAAACAAATATCTGACCAAACCAATAAAGTTTGTTTAAAGAAGAGATATATAAAAGCTCATTGCAAGAATGTAGCTAGAGTAGTACTTATCACCCTTCCTTAAAGGTGAGTGAGAGGGGATAAACCAGGATTTGGAGAGAGAGCAAAAGAAAAAAGGGTTTGTTTTTTTTACAATACAATAATCAGACATATTGTAGATTAAAAGTAGATTGCATGCCTTTCTTCCATTCTCTTCTTGCTTCGGAAAATCATCATGAAGTTGGCAAGATTAGAGTTATTAGTTAACAGTGGTAGCAATAAATGTGTTTTTCTTTTTGGTATAATGAAGAAAACAGTCTATATGGATACATATTTCGAAGTGAAGGGTACAACTACAATTGCAACATTAAGAGGTTGGTGTGAATGGGTTGCGTGTGTAAAAATAATGTAATCAAATTTATTCTTAGTAAGTTTAGAAATCAAAGACATTGCCATGCTAGTCTGTACTATTAGTATGCAAAGGGATCTTGTTACACCTTAGAGACTGACAAAACAAAGTTGGTAGCATAAGCTTTTGTAGACTACATGTATTTATTTCATGTATATCTGTCTTTTCATTCCAGGAACTCAGGGTGGCATTGAGATCATCTGTGGAAGTAGACTTAGGCTGCAAAAGCTTTTGATAAATGTGTGCAAATAGAGTATTGTTTCTGTAACTTGCAGACTAGATCAAAAATCTAAATGCAATGGTTGAGTGATATTAAGCAGTAGGAAATTCAAGATTAAACCATTGAAGTATTTCTTCACATAGCCTATAGTTAGGCTGATGATCACTGATTTAGATGACATTGAAAGGGATTGTAGGGAACATAATGTTCATTATCAGCAATAGCATGCCACCAAGTACCACAAATTAGAGCACCAGTCTTCAATATTTGGTCTTCTAGATATTTTATGCTTCCAGAAGCCCCAGTAGACATGGACAGTGGTTAGGACATCTCCTAGATGTCCCAAACATCTAGAACAGTGGTTCTCAACCTGTGGGTCCCCAAATGTTTAAGTGTCTAGCAGACCACTTGGGAGCCATAGGATGACACAGAACTAGATAGGTTATTGGTCTCATCACTTTGGACTCAGGTCCTTTGTGATATTATCTTTAACTTTTGACTTCTTGCATGCATAATTACTTTCAGTTAAATTATACTACTTTTTCATATTCCTAATGCCATATATGGTGGTGCGGCTTATGTCATTTCAATTAATTTATACCCCTTTAGCATGCTCCTAATCAGTAATCCCATCTTTTGTCACACTTTGAAGGAATCCTTACATTTAAAATGATAGATTCTGAAACATCAATATCAAAATGAAAAAGTACTCAAACTTTTCAAGGCTTGTTTATAGGAGATTCAAGGAAAGATCAAACTCATAACTCATCAATCTTCTATAAGCACGCCTTGAAAAGTTAAAATATTTTTCCATTTTGCTCCTTAGTAAATATGCTGACTATAACAACTACATTATTATGAATGATGTTAGAGACACATTAATCTGGATTAAATTATTTAGAATACACAGCTTCGGTGCGCACAGTACTATGCTATAGAGCCAGTACTAGAGAGATAAGCTATTGTACAGTGGTTTTCAACCTTCATAATGCCGTGACCCCCTCATACAGTTCCTCATGTTGTGGTGACCCTCCAATCATAACATTAATTTCATTGCTACTTCATAACTGTAGTTTTTCTACTGTTATGAAGCATAATGTAAATATCTGGTATGCAGGGTGCATTTTAATTCACTGCAGCAATAATAATTCACATACCCGGTATGCCCAAATACTGGTGGGGTTAGGGGGAATTGATTTTGTCATTTGGGAATTGTAGTTGCTGGGATTTATAGTTCACCTACATCAAAGATAATTCTGAACTCCACCAATGATGGGATTGAGCCAGACTTGACACACAGAACTCCCATGACCAACAGAAAATACTGGAAGGGTTTTGGGGTTTTGGAGTTGTAGTTCACCTACATCCAGAGACAACTGTGGACTCAAACAAGGATGAATCTGGAGAAAACTTGGCATGAACACTTAATATGCCAAAATGTGAACACTGGTGGGGGTTGGGGAAAATAAACCTTGACACTTGGGAGTTGTAGTTCAAAGAGCATTCTGAACCCCAACGACGATAGAATTGGCCAAACTTCCCACACAGAACCCCCATGACCAACAGAAAATACTATATTTTCTGATGGTCTTTGGTAAACCTTCTGACACCCCCTTGCGACCCCCCAAGTGGTCCCAACCCCCAGGTTGAGAAACTCTGCTGTAGCATGCTTTCATTTTGTTCACTGTGTCTGACACCTTCTTGTAATTGAAGATTCAATTGCTCATTAGCCACTGAATAGTTATCTTTGTGATCATGTCTTATCTTAGTCTTCCTTCCAAGAAACTTTTTTTGGGTTGATAGATCCTAAAGATCATTATACTGCCACTGGTAAAATTGATAAAATTGCATTGATTATTTCTCCCCTTAAGGAAACCATGCCTTTTTTGGGCCAGGACTGGCGGTCTCCAGGGTGGAGGTGGATTAAAACAGAAGATGGTTGGAAGCGATGTGAGCCGTCCAGCTCAGAACTCGAGGAGGAGAACAATCGCCTTAATGACATCAGTCATGCTGTGTAAGTTTATCTGTTTTAGTTAATGTAGAGCAACCAAGAAACTATCTACCTGGTGGTATCCATTGTGACTGGAACCATACTTTATATTCATGTGATGAATGGCTGCCAGTATTAAAATTGCTTTTAGATAAGTAGCCATTGGGGCTAAAACAAGACATCTGTTATAAAGGGAAGCAGCTAAAATATAACCATCTTATGAACCATCTAGGACTCTAAGATCGTCTGGGAAGGCCCTGCTCTCAGTCCCGCCTTCTTCACAGATTCGGTTGGTGCGGACGAGAGACAGGGCCTTCTCAGTGGTGGCCTCTCGGCTGTGGAATGCCCTCTCTAAGGATATCAGTTTGGCCCTCACCCTACTAACATTTCGCAAAAAAGTTAAAACTTGGCTTTTTAGCAAGCATTTACAAATGCAGTGCAACAGGCAAACTTTGATCTATGGAACGACTGGACAATGTGATTAGATAATGATTTTAGTAATGAGATGCTGAGGATTTATGTTTTTCTTGGTTTTTACTGCTTAATGTGATGTTATTTATGCTAAATGTTTTTAATTGTTTTTATGTTATTGGGAGCATTGAATTGTGTCGTTTGTAAACCACCCTGAGTCATCGTTGGGCTGCGAAAGGCAATATATAAATATGGCAAATAAATAAATAACCATATACAGATGCTGGACTGATTGCCGGATGGGTGGGATTAAGAAAAGACCAGAAATATGAGTTTTAAATACTATATTGAACTTTGAAATTCAGCATAGGTGCAAGAACTTTTGAAGAAGGCTGTTGGTTTGTGAATTTAGGACTGTGAGCAAGATAACTCTCCTGGAGTTAAACATTTGCAGACTTTACCGGTTTGCTTCATGCTTTGCTACTTTGAAGCATTTACTAAATGTTTGCCTCCTTGGCTTGTTAGGATTACACTAATAACAGTGCTGTAAGTGTTGAAAAATGTCTTGTGTTTCATCAGTAGGCATAAAGTATTAATGTGCGATGGTGCAGGTGTTGAGACGTGAAACCAGTTTTGTCTAACATCATAGGAGATGAAAGCTATTTTGGATTACCATGGTATTCAGCAATAATATAACCACCTAATTAACTGATACAGGGTTGCCATGGGGACTCGGCTGTTTTGAATGGGAGATGGGCCATTAGACCCATGTCACTAAAATGAGGTTATTTCTGCAAAAAGCTTGAAATTGCTGGCTTTACGAGACTCAGTATGTGAACTTCACACAAAGTCATAACAACACTTTGATGTTCAAAGCACCTCCCCCCAACCCCCAAAATTATGTTGAAAATACAGATATCCTCTGTTTATTGACAGGTTAGGGGAAAGAGCACTATCAAACTGGGAAAAGATGAAATGCAGAACCCTACGACACATGTTCATTTGGTTTTATTTCAACATGTATTAAATGTGTATTAAATTGGTAGAATTTTCAATCAGTTTCATTTTACCAAAGCCACAAAGTGGATCATACATCCAGTATCCACATTCCGAGTATAATTCAAAACTGGTGGAAAAGTAAAGGTTTTCCCCTGACATTAAGTCTAGTAGTGTCCAACTCTGGGGGGTGATGGTCATCTCCATTTCTAAGCTTAAGAACCAGCATGTCCATAGACACCTCCAAGGACATGTGGCCAGCATGGAGCGCAGCTACCTTCCCGCTGAAGCGATACCTATTGATCTACTCACATTTGCATGTTTTCAAACTTCTAGGTTGGCAAAAGCTAGGGCTAACAGCAGGAGCTCACCCCGCTCCCCAGATTTGAGCTGCTAACCTTTTGGTCAGCAAGATCAGCAGCTCAGTGGATCAATCTGCTGCACCACCAGAGGTTCTGGTAGAAGAATAGGTTGTCAGAAAAAAGGGTAGACATTTACATAGAAGAAGGAAAGAAAATTATGAACTTCTTTTATTTTGAGGGTCTGCTTCCAACCAGATGGGCTCTGAAATCTTAGTAGCATGATAATAGTTGTTAAGAATGTGTAAAGAAAGAGTCCACTTGTAGGACTGATCTTGTTGATAATTTTTGTATGGTATATGTGAACTTCCCTGTGTTGTTAACCTGCCTGTAAAGGTCTCATAACTATGAAGGGGGGGGGGGGGTTGAGGCATACTTCTGCACTTGGATTTTCTTGGTTTGCTTCACCACTATATAACCCTTGRGAGTTCATTTACCCCAACTCCTGTGTCCCAAATATTCAGCAATGAGGAATTTCTTATTGATTGATAATGTTGGCTACAGATAATCTGGACAGAATTTATTTGTGGGCCTGCTTGTTCCACTGACTGTACTTTGGAAAGGCATGACCTTTGAAATCATGACCTTCTGGAAAACCAGAATCTCCAAAGCCTTTTGGAAGTGTGACCTTTTGGAGATTAATTGGCATTCACTACCATATGGAAAATCATAACCCTTTTGTAAAGTGTGATCTTCCTGAGAAGAGCTAAAAACTCATTTGAGTGGTACAGATCCACATGTACTTATGCAAGGCAAATTAGGTTTCTCAGTTGTTAGACTGATGATAACCTGGTTGTCTTTGATCTGTTAGAAACAGAGATTATGCCCATGCACAAAAACACTAGAGTTTCAGAAGTGTTTCTTTCAGTGCCCAAAAAAAATCTAAACTCCCATAAAATATATTGCTTTTAAATAATTCTCTCAAGAGACCAAAAATGGATATTCTTCATTAAAAGTAACTAGGAGCCCCCGGTGGCGCAGTGGGTTAAACCCCTGTGCCAGCAGGACTAAAGACCAACAGGTTGCAGGTTCGAATCCGGGGAGAGGCGGATGAGCTCCCGCTATCAGCTCCAGCTCATCATGCGGGGACATGAGAGAAGCCCCCCACAAGGATGATTAAAAACATCAAATCATCCGGGCGTCCCCTGGGCAATGTCCTTGCAGATGGCCAATTCTCTCACACCAGAAGCGACTTGCAGTTTCTCAAGTCGCTCCTGACATGACAAAAAATAAAATAAAAGTAACATAGCTGGTTTACTCACAGTCTTCATGTATTCAGCATACAGGTACATAACTTGTCAATCCAGTTATAGATAGGTTTGAAATGGTTTCGCTGTTCAGATTATACAGGACATCTTTCTTAGAATCTTAACAGTCCAAAGTCTCAAGCAACTCTCTTAGAATCAACAGCAACATCTTTACAGAGAGTATAATGGAGTCTGAAGTCTGAAATGGAGTCTTAGCTCTGAGCAGTCCCAAATCTGATCATGTGGTCTGCAGCCCCTCCCACAACCTTAAGAAACAAAGGAAAAACTGCATACCAAAACATACATATACAATTCAGTAAGCAAAACAGTATCATATATAAACAAATTACTAGTGGAAGCTTGAAGAAGGTTGCTATTTCTAACTGTAAGGAGATGCTATAGCCATAATACAAGTCAATGTTCCGCACCGAAATAACTCTTGATGAGACCTAGCAATATTCCCAATTTTGGAACAGAACTACTTTTATGCTCTGTAGCCGCCATAATTCTAAGTGAACATTTCATATATATACTAAAGGTACACAACTACCGACCTTTCTATGGCAGTAACAATGGTAATTCTAATCATGAGCTGTTCATCCGTGTTGCCTCTTGTTTAATTATATCTTACATCCAAAGTGACAGAAAATGAGCTGTAATTACTGCTTGTTGGAATCAATTTTATATAAGTGATATTGCTTCTTTATTGAAGCTTGCTTCACTGCCCTAGATTATTTGCAGTCCATGGGCAAGATAGATTAAATTTATTCATGTGGAACTAAGCTTAGTCTAAGGCCCAGCATGCATGATTTTAATATATCTGTTGTCTGTCTAGGCAATCCCTTTGTTGCATGAGCAGGAACGTATCAGAAACTTCCAACCATCTGTTTCTCATCCTCTGAATTTGAAACTCGTTACCAGCTTGAGAACAAGTCAGGCTGTTAAACCACCTTCAAAATTAGATTTCATGTCCTGGCTTCTTCCAAAACTATGGAACCAAAATTTCCCTGTTAAGACAAAATGTGAGAATATGATACCTTAGAGCAGAGTGGCTGGAGAAACACTTTCCAAACTTTTCAAGTTGCTGCCACGCTTTTTTGACAGGCATCCTTTTGCAACACAGCAATTCAGTTTTACTAACAAATTGGGATTAAACCAACCCCTTAGAACAGTTTCATGCAATATAAATAACATATTTATATTCATATAATCTTTACAATTTAATTGAGGTTTGGAATTTTTTCCAGGTGCTTCTTGTGTCATTTCCTCTATAGCTGCTCCATGGGGTTAATCACAAACATTACTGACAACAGTTTTTTCTTTCCTAATTAGAAACTAGTCCATTTTAGTGGTTATTACTGCAAGTCAATAAACAAATTGTGCACATTATAAATGTTCTAGCAGCACCTATACTTAAACAGCACTCCACATCTGTAGTGATTGAATGTCTCTGGAGGTTTTTAAATGGAGGCTGGATGGCCATCTGTCAGGAGAGCTTTGACTGTGGCAGAAAGGAGTTGGGCTAGATGCCCCTTGGGGTCTTGTCTAGTGGTGTCTTCTTCCCTGGAGGTTTTGACACACCTAGGGACCACAGGCGACACGCTGGTGTGTCCCAACACACAGTTTGGAAAGCTCTGAATTGAAGGCTTCCTGTTCATCTTAGTAAGAGTGAAAGTGCTAGGTGTGACTTGTTTATATCTTATCCAAAGAAAGCATTATGTCTTTTCAGGAATAATCCTGGGAAAGTCTAACAAGAGGTTTGGCGGTTATCTTATGGTGAGCTAGGTTCTTTCCAGCAGAAGAAATCAGGATACCAGCTGTTTCTGCCAAAAGCTGAAGTTGAAATTAATATATTGCAGCATGAATGTGGATCATCTCCCACCTTATGCATCTGCAATATTTAGATTCATTATGACAAAGGTAGAGTGGGTTGTGGGCCCCCTGGTGGCACAGTGGATTAAACTGCTGAGCTGCTGAACTTGCTGACCAAAAGGTCAGCAGTTTGAATATG